TAAATTGCGAGGAAGTCTTGATTCAATTGCGAGGAAGCGGGAGCGCCCGTCCTGAATAAAGTGTCAGGAACGGCGCAAATGAGAGCGGGGGTCCTGACAAAAACGCGAGGAAGTCACAGGCGGGAGCACCGATCCTGAGTAAATTGTGAAGAAATCTCAGGAGCAAGGGTCCTGAGTAAATTTGGAGGAAAACTCAGGCGGGAGCCATTGTTGTTGTAATTCGGGGGGCCAGTTGCCCAGTTTGAGCACCAAGATTTTCCCTGTCAGAAAACAGGGTGCGAGCGTCGAGGGGCACACTTTGATTGAGAAAAAGAAACAATATGCACCGGTGCGGGGGGATCAACAACGATTTCTCTTCAGAGATGAGAGTTCAACAGCTTCAACCACACAACAAGCAGAATTCTGGCCACGAATTCCTTATTCAGCCACGCACCCAGGGACAATGAATGACCGTTCGGCCCACTCACTCTGATAGACGAGGGACGATAGGAGAAGGAGGAGGCGGAGAAGGAGCAGGAGGAACGATCGGAGAAGGAGGAGGAGCCGGAGGAGGAGCTGGAGGAGGAGGAGGAGCTGGAGGAGGAGGAGGAGCTGGAGGAGGAGGAGGAGGAGGAGGAGGAGGAGGAGGAGGAGGAGGCGGAGAGAGGAAGAGGAGAGAGAGGAGAGTGGAGAGAGGAGAGAGGCCAGAGCAGAGAGAAGAGAGTGGAAAGGAGAGAGGTGGGCGAGCAGAGAGGAGGGAGGAGGAGAAAAAAGAGGAGGATGAGAAGCAGGAAGGATCACTGAAGACGCGAGGGGAGGATGGAGATGATGAAGTTGACGATGCTTGCGATAATGATGACTTTTTCACGGCACCGCTCGCTCTTGGAAGCCCTGGTGTGAAGTGTTTTTTCCACGTCATCGCTCCCTCCTGGGAACCTTGGGGTTAAGAACTTTCTGCGCCACTGCTCGCTCTGGAGAGCCCTGGCGTTCAAAACTTTTTACGGCACCGACTCGTGTGACAAGGCCTGTTCAGTCACCAGGTGCTCCTGGGAACCTTGGCTTCAAAGCTGCGTCCGTCATTCGGCCGTCCCCCCGGGAAAGGGTCCTCTGGGGGGGGGGGGCTTTGGGATGCATTGGGGTCCTCGTGGGCCGTTCTGGGGCCCTCTTAGACAGTCTTCGGACGCTTTCTCCCGCCTTGGGGCCCTCGTTGGACGATTCTCGACCGTTTCGGCGGCCTCCTACCGCATTCTGGGGGCTCTCTTGGGGCCCTCTTGGGCCCCTATTGGGCTGCCTAGGAGCTCTCTGTGGCCGTCATGTGGCCCTCTTGGGCCGCCTTGGGGCCCTCTTTTGAAGCCTCCTGGCCCGACTTGGGGCAATCTCGGAAGCCCTCAGAACCGTCTTCGGCCGATCTGGGCCCGAAACTGCGAGAATGAAAACACATGAGGAATAGAAAGGGCCCCCCTGGTCCATGTCTGTTGCCTCCGCATGCCGTCTTGGGAATCCTCTCGAAAGCAGGTTCTGCCGTCTTGAGGGCCTCTTGGGCCGTCTCGGAGGGCTTGGGCCGTCTTGGAGCCCTCGTGGACCTTCGTTGCAGCCTCCGATGGTCCTCTTGGGCTCTCTTGGGAACCTTTCGTGGCCCTCCCGGGCCGTCTTGGGGCCTTCTTGAGCCGCCTTGGGGACCTCTTGGGAGCCCCCCGTGCCGCCTTGGGGCAATCCCCGAGGCTCTCAGGACCGGCTTCGGCTGATCATGGCCGGAAAGAGCGCGAACAACAAAAACATGAAACACATACTCGGGGGCAGAAAATCCACCCCGATAATAACCACCCCGACACGCAAAGCCGTTTCGTAAACGCACCCAAAGAAGTAATCGAACAGGACAGGGCTGTTTAGTAAACGCCCAGGGACGCTTACTAAACGGCAATTGTCCGATCCGGGTGGTTGTTCCTCTCTCTCTTGACATACGGACCATCAATGTTGACGAACGAACAACACACACCCATACCCATAGGGGGGTCGTTGGGAGGAGGACTGGCTATGGGTATGGGTGCAGGTTGTCGGACCTCGGGGAACGCTCCCGTTCGAGCGGGGACCCCCATCCGACAACACGCACCCATAGCCCTCTCCGATCCCCCTATGGGTATGGGTGTGTGTTGTTGGTTCGTCAAATGTAGGGTGTGTGCCTCCTCCGCACGTCCGGGGATCACATTGGCAGGCTCTTGGGCCGTCCCGGGGGCCTCTCGTGCAGTCTTGGGCGGCTTGGCCCGTCTTGGGGCCCTCTCGGGCCCCTGTTCGGCCCGCTTGGGGACCTCCCGTGGCCCAAGTAGGGCTCTTGGGCGAGCCTCTTTGGGACCTCTTGGGCCGTCTTAGAGTTCTTTGGGGCTGTCTCGGGGCTCTCATGGGCGGTCTTGGAGCCCTCTTGGACCATCGTGAGGCCATCTTAACAACATCGGAACAAGCTTGGGCACTCTGGAGCTCTCTTGGAACGCTCTTCGGCCGTGTTGGAGCCCTCTGGGACCCTCTTTGCCGTCTTGGGGCGATCTGTCTTGGGCTGTCTTGGGCCGCCGGAAGCCCGACCAGACGAGAATCCGCAACGACATCAAAAACTGTTGGGAAGCCCATGTGTGTTTGCCCCCCTCCTGAGGCCCTCTGGGGGGTCCTCTTCAGGGCCTCTCGAGCGTATGAGGGCACTCTTGGGCCATCTTGAGGCCATCTTGGGTCATCCGGGGAGGCTCTTGGGCGGTCTTGAGCTCTCTTGGAGCGCCCTTCGGCCGACTTGGACCTCTCTGGGGTCGTCGTGGGTGCCTCTTGGGACGTCGTGGGCGGCTCGTTACGCCCATGTCTTCGCGCTTCGCCCCTTATCAACAACACCTCCCTGGAGGGTGGTTTGGCCCACCAGAGCGTCATGACTCGTACCTCGATATGTTCGTCACCTGGGCCTGCACGGGAACGGAAAGAACGCTTCAGAAACTTGCCCGAGAGGGCTCATGGCACCGTTCGGTATTGGGAGCTTCGGCGTCAAGAGCTTGTTCACGTCAGCGATCGCTCTTGGGAGCCTTGGTGTGAAGAGCTTTTTCACGTCACTGCTCGCCCTTGGGAACCTTGACGATAAAACATGTTTACGTCACCGCTCGCTCTTGGGTGCCTGGGAGTCAAGAGCTGCTTGCGTCACCGTTCGATCTTGGGAGCCTTAGCGTGCAGATAGTTCTGCCCTATTGCTCTCTTCTTTGGGGACCTTTGGCGTTCAAAGCTTTTCACGTCACCGACTCATGTAAAAAGGCATGTCCGATCTCCTGGTGCTCTTGGTAGCTTTGGCGTCAGAGCTGCGTCCGTAACTAGGCCGTCCGAGGGGGTGGGGTGGGTCCTCTGAGGGCTCTTTGGGGTGATTTGGGCCCCTGTGCGATTCTGGGGCCCTCTTGGGCGATCGTTGGGGGGGGCGTGTCCCGTCTTGGGGGTATCTTGGGACGTCTTGGACGCCTCTTGGGCCGTCTTGGGGACGGGCGGTCGCATTACGCCCTTGTCCCCGCCCGTCGCACCTTCCCAAGGGCACCTCCCCAGAGGGCTTCGCCCCACCAGAGCGCCATCACTCGTACCTCACTCGTTCCGCCGTTCTCCAAGCAGATCAAGTCAAGCAGCGTGGTCGAGTGTCCGGGACGCCTCCAGACGTGTTCCGGAGGCCCGAGACGGCGCGAAGTGGGGCCACGGCGGCCAAGGAGGGCCCCAAGAAGCTTCCACGACCCCACGACACCCATACGATCATCATGGTGCGCGGGAAGGACCGGTAAGATGCGTGTCTTTTTTTCTACCTACCTCAAGGCCGAGCTTATAAACGAGTTGCATATGCTATCACGCCAGCGAGCGGAGCACGTGCGGGGAAGGGGAGCGTAGTTATTCGTGCGTGTAAGGAGGGTAGGGGAGCGGGGAAGAGGAAGGGAAGGACCTGGTAAGAGGCGTGTCTTGGAGTGGTCGAGTTGCCAGCTTCCCCCGTTGTCGCGCACGGTGCCCCCCAGGAAGAGACCACGGTGCTGCCCTGGCACCAAGACGGCACAGCATGGTCTAAGGTACTCCAGATTTCGTAATAAAGGGAGGGGGGTCTCATTTCGGGGGGGGTCTCTTCCAGGCTATCTTGGAGGGCCTGGGGGGGTCTGGGGAGGATGTTTTGGGGGGTTCTCCCACGGGGGGGGTCTAAAACTTCTCGTCTGGGAGGGTTGAGACCCCCTCCCTTTTATCACGAAATCTGGAGTACGTCAAGTTCGTGTCGTGCCGACTTCGGCGCTGGTTTTTGACACCGCGGGGATCGTTCAGCCTTGAACGATCGGCCGTTTCCGAAGCGTCCAAAGCTTTCCACATCGAGCGATTCTGGGTCGCCCGCGGCGTTCAAAGTTGAACGCCTCTGGCGGGGTCGCCGCCGGTCGACACGGCACGAACCTACCGTAGCAGAATTGCAGAAGAACGTCTCATCGGAGGCTCCCAAGCGTCGAAACAATCATTGAGTAACACGTGATGTTGATGTTTGTGTGTTGCTCGCTCGCGGGGCGCGAGAGGTTCTCGGGGTCCGAGGTGGCCTAAAGAGTGCCCCAAGAAAGACCTAAGAGAGCTCAACTACATACCCCCCATAAGGCCTCGGGATGCATCGAGTACACACCTGGAAATGGGGGGTTGAGGACCCCGTTATTTAACGTAGAGAATCCGAGGTGGAGGACATGTTCAACACCAACACGCGCACACCTCGCCACATGGCGCCGGAGACAGTGGACCACAACTAAAAGGGAACCATAGGCCCGAGCCCTTGCCATGAAACATGGCCTGCTCGTGCACTCGGGCTTCGATGCCGAAACTGAGGTGGGAACGTGTTCCGCTTATTGTCGTGGTCCATTTACCAAGCTACTGCTTCTCCCCCTCGCGAGCTTCATACCACAGCTAGGGGAAACCACCAACAACCAACAACTTCCCACTGCCCACGAACACGCAGGCACATTGAAATAATCACCCAATACGAAATTGGCTGGCGGAATGCGCGAAGCGATTGAATAAAAAGCGCAGGCGCGGGGGGGAACGGACTGACTCGCATCGAGGCAAGAAGCGTAGATCAGAACTTATGCCTGGTCAATTGGCCGCTTGCAGAGGCAACAGAGACGACTACGCCGGAGCCAGAGGTCGATGCAGTCTTGATGGTAGACATGGCCACAAGGCAATCTACGAACAGGGTCGCCTTCAACAAGGTCTTCGCAACAGATCACACACTGCGTGTCCTCTGGCCCGTCCCAGGCTGACGTCGAGCTGTGACTGTCCACGAACTGCGCGTCGTTGGCTGGAGGCGCCTCGGCTGCCCTCGCCAGGCCCACCACAGCCATGTGAGCATCGATGGCGACGTTCAGTGCCGCCAGGCGCTCCCTCCTGCTCGCCTCGCGCTGCGCTGCCCTCCGCCTCACGCTGGCGTTGTACTCGGCGAACCTGTCTTGGATGCTCGTTCTGGGGACCTTCCTGGAGCCACTCGCTCCACTCGTGCGTCGAAGCTGCGTCGAACGTCAGTCGATTTGGGTCGACCCTGAGTCGAACCTGAGTCGAACTTGAGTCGAACTTGAGTCGAACTTGAGTCGAACTTGAGTCGAACTGGGGTCGAACAGATCCGTTAGGTGGGCTCCAGGAAGGTCCCCGAAACGAGCATCGAACCTGTCCCGTGTGGGAGGCGCGCTGGCGGCAGACGAGGAGCCGGTGGCCCCTCCGGTGGCGGGCGCGCTGGCGGCAGACGAGCCGCTGGCCCCGGCTGTGGCGGGCGCCGCCGCGGCCGAGCCAGGCGTGTCGCCCGAGGCAGCCGTCGAGGCGCTCGCCGGGCCAGGCGAGCCGCTCTCCCCCCCAGCGGCGGGCGCTGCCGGTGCCGAGCGAGGAGCTCCAGAGGCAGCCGCCGGGGCCGTGGAGCTTCGCAGTGGCCCGCTGGCAGGCGCGGGGGAGTCGCGGCCGAGCAACGGTGCCCGCTGGGTCGACGCAGGTGCAGTCGGCGCCGCCGCGGGCGGGGCCGTGGCTCTCTCCAGCGGGCCTGCAGCCTGGCGGGCGGACGGCTGGAAGGAGGCAAGCTGCTGGCCAGGCAGTGTGGCCGGCTGCGCTGCTGCAACTGTGGGGCTCCCTGCCGCTGCGGCCGCTGCTGTTGCCACGATGTCCCCAGCCGAGGCCGGTGAGGCTGCCGAAGCGCTCGCCGCCTCGCTGGTAGGTGCCGCGGGTGGGTGCATGACCGCGGCCGCGGAGTCTTCTGGGGCTGTGGGAGGGCTCGTCGATGGGTCCGCGATGGGCGGGCCAGGTGAGATCGCGGAGGACATCGCCACTGCTGCGGCGGGATCGTCATCGACAGTGCCAGCGCCAGCAATGCCCGCGGCAGCGACACCTGCGCCGACGTCTGTCGTGCGGCCATGGGCCGACAGCAGCGCCGCGGCACCCGCCGCCGACATCCCGGCAGCCAGCAGAACGGCCTCCACAGAGCCTGACTGGGCAGCGGCCCTGATGGCGTCCTCCTGAACTGGCGTCGCCGCAGGCCCCACCTGCGAGGGCGGCGAGGCCGCGGCTCTTGACCTCTGCGGCGACGGGCCGTGCCCTCCCTCGCCGCCCTGGCCTGCACCTGCCGAGGACGCCTGGCCGCTGGCCGCAGGCTCTGGGGCTGACGCCGCCGATGTGGCCTGCAGGGCCAAAGGGGCGCCCGAAGTGTCTGCAGCTCCGCCGCGCCGAGCCGAAGTGG